TTTTATACTTTATTTTATATATATCGCCAATATAATTTTATGTATTATTAATTATTATTAATATAATATTACTTTATTAAAGTATTTTATGTATTTTATACTTATTTAATAATATATAATTATTTATACTTTTTTATATATTATTAGTTATATAAAAATTATAAATATATATATAGTAATCAAATCTTTTATCTTTGTAATTATAAATAAAAAAGGAATATTTATTTAAATGTATTTTTGTAAAAAATTAAAAACAAAATGAAATAAAAAATAAACATTATGAGTTTAAATCACTATGATTTAATCCTTATAACTTATAATCCTTATATATATTTTTACCTGTAGTACAATATGAAGTAAAGCATCTGGAGAACCACCGCCAATGTTGAAACATCGTAGAATCAGTACTAACATTCTCATGAGAAAAAGAGGTGCAAAACATAATCTTCTTTCCCACGGTGACTGCGCATTCATTGCCTATATAAAATATTTATAATATTTAAGATTGAAGATAAGAATTTTAAAGAAATTTAAGAATATATAATATACCTTAAAAAGTCCCCATATACTAAGGAAACAATAGATAAACATACAGCTGTACCAATAAATATCACATAAACAATGGATTGTTGCTGCTATCATAGGTATTGCTCCTAAAATTTAAAATGAAATTTTATTAAAACTATTAATCATATTTAATCATCTGATAATTAGTAATGCAACAATAATTTAAATAAATACCAAAACTTTGGCATAGCCATATACCGATCATGTCTAATTTCAATAACGATTTGTAGAAGATTTCATCGTAGTTTAAATTCATAAAAAGATGATAAATAAATGATCCAATCCAGGGACTTACAGCACCGATTAAATGGCACCAAGATAAAATTGCTAGGAAGATACCTTTGGTATTCCATGGAAGAAGTTGAGGAATAGTCAATAACATGTATAAAATGGCAAATCCTAAAACATGATTTTTTTGTATTAAAAATCAAGTATATATAATTATTTAATTATTATTAATCAATTTTAATCTAATTTGGACATTAATCAAATTATTTATTTGTAAAAATAATTCAAGTTTATTTCTTGAAAAAAATTTCTGGAGAAAATAATTTATATATAAATAAATAATTTATATAATATAATAATAATTTAGAAATAAATACACAATATAATATAGATTTTTTACTTATAAATAATTCATAATTTATATTTTGAAATATTCATATATTTGAATAAATTGAATTCATTAATAAATGATGTTATATAATCATTTATTTTTAAATTCTTTAGGAATGCATTATTCTTTAAAAACAAAAAGAAGTAAAATTGTAAAATATAAAAAAGAAAATCTTTATATGGATATAAAATCTTTATATGAATATCTTTATATATTA